GGGGGAGTTTTTGTTTGGTTTTTGCTTGTTTTTTTGTTTGTTTGTTTGTTGTTGGGTTTTGGGTTTGTTTTTTTGTTTTTTTTGTTTTTTTAAAATGTTTTTTAGGAGGGGGGCTGCTTGAAGATAGATTCTGATCAATGTGGCTTACTTCACCGCTTAGTCGTAGAACCTGCACACTGTGTAATCTTTTTACTCGAAGACGTAGTCGAAAGTTTTTAACTTGCGCCCAGAGTCGCTATAGAATTCTTTTTAGAAGTAATATCAGTGTCCTCGTACACCATGGAAAGATTTCCAACTACGACAAGGGACTGTGCACACACATTATTACCTACACCTCTCTAGCTCGATTCCATTTTTAATTGGCTCAGATACAGAATTATTTGAGCACAGTAACGCTTTTTTGTTGTTGTTGAGTTGAGGAGATGTTTGAGAAAGACACAGGTGATCAGACAACACCCAGGCTATTGACTAGATTGTTTTTGTAGACAGACTGCCCAGTCCGTCAAATCAAAGATTGTAGTCATTTTGGAGGCCTTGTCCCTTAAGAGAAACCATAAAAGCAGGATGATAAACTTAAAATGAAGCTAAAAAAGATATAAATAAAAACGAATCAAATCAAAACAGAATGTTAAAAAGAAAACAACCGGCCGTCTAGAAAAATACAGAAATGATTCTCAAATATTTTTCTTATGCACTTGTGATTCTAACGTTATCTTTTCTCTATCTGGTATGTCACCAAAAACAAGTTTTAAGTATTTATTGCTTCCTTAGAATTTGGTTCAACAGCCCTATCAAAAATGTATTTGAAAGTAACAGGAAGCAGATGACGAGAAAAGAAACAGCGAAAGAAAGAAATACAATGCAGGTTACGGTTTGAGTTAAAGTTAAACTAATGATAGTATTCAAACAATTATCGTTTCTCCTGAAACCCACAGAGGAAATCAATCAGGCGAACAAATGTTGCTCGAAATAACAAGATCCCACCCAAAGGCAAACCCCCCCCCACAACATTGTCAACGAAATCACCCCACTTCCGATCATCCCCCTCCCCCCCCCCCCCAGCAAAAACAAAACTGATGGCAATCAATTATTGAGGAAGTTGTGTATTGACAATCAATGACTACCGCATGACGTTGTTCTGTTTACGGGCATGCAAAGATAAAGCAACACATTAAGGGGCAGAGCAAGGAGGGGGGGGGGGAGCTGTTGCCAATAATTTATTATTCAAATAAATCTTGCTTTGATTTGTTCCCACCAGGAATTGTATGAACGTTCCAGAAAAAATCTCTAGTCAGGGCCTGCTGTATTGATCCGTAAAAGAGTGTGGAGATATATCACAAGCTTGAGGCGTCTGGTTTGCTCACGGTGAAATGGCTCTAGTTTTTAAAGACAAACTGACGTACTGATCACTGACGAGTTACGTTATGACATAGGCTAGTTAGTCCCTCCACCCTCCCTTCAAAAGAAAACACAAAAAAACACCGACATTTTTTGCCTTTTCGTGATCTGCTAAAGTCATTAGGGACATACAGCAGTATTCTTTAAAGAATTTGTAAGAACTTAAAAAAAAACCCACACAGCAAATATATGTGTATTAATGGTAATAATCTTTTTTCTTTTCAATTTTGTTTCTAAAACCACAAAAATTCACCCAGATTCTTGTGATGGTAATAATAGTAATGGGCCTAATAATAATATTATTAATGATAATAATAATGAT